AGAAAGAAAATCGGAATCGGCAAAAATCTGTACTGGTAGATCACACTAATGAGAAATCAAAATCGGCCAAGAAAATTGCAATCGGTGCATCTCTTAACAAAAACCCAATTTTATTTCATTGGGTCTTTAATGTCTGTGGACCGTGTGTTAATGTCACTATTTTCATTTTTTGTGGTAGAAATGTATTTTATATTCGCATTTGTTTTGTAAAGGTGAGATGGATGGTGGTTTTCTTAATTAGTTTAATTTCTTATTAAAACTAATGAGAAACATGTTTTTTTTTTTTTTTACTAGTGCCAATTTTGAAATGAAACGTCTTCTTTTGTAGATCACTCTGGCTTGCAGAATAAATGCAGGCGTGCCAAAATTGGAGACATTCCGTTCGACATCAAAATATAAGACATGCAATTTGGTTTTGGATCTTTACTTTGGTCCTGTCTTCTGCCTTCATTTTGCAACAATCAAATATTAACAGGCTCTGAGAGCCCATTGCTCTCCTCCAGACATATAACTGTGCATTTGTCTGGGTGTCTGGGTCTGGAATAAACGCTCAGTGCGTAGGAGAAAATTGGCTTTAGTCTGTTCTGCCGTTCTAGTCACCCGATAGATAGAAATAATGTTCAGAAATATTATCAAATCGAGGGCACACTTGACCACACCAAAAAAGACTGTTATCTGTGTTAAGGTGGACTGTAATGCATTTAATCCAGCCCTCAAGCAGATCTGCCTTATCTCAATAAGCTGCTCTCTATGACAAATCCCTACCTGTGCACACCTGAGGCCAGCTCAGCTGAAGACAGAAACGAACCAATGTCAAACACCAGCTTACATCATACCATGTGCATGTCCTCTCTATCAGTAAGGGCAAGTGGATTCAGTACCAAGCAGAAGTTAGACAGAAAGTTGGCCGTGTCTAATTGATTTTTGTGTCGGGCCATCACATGCTGTGCACACATTATGTTTGCCGTCTAGCCAACTGTGATATATCAGAAAAGTAGTAAGCTTGGTAAAAGGCATTATTCTGTTCTTCCTACTCTTAACTTTTTTTACCTTTGCCCCAATAAATGCACAAACAATCTAGTGTGTAAGTTTGGACTGTACAAACAATGTCCTCTTCTTGTTTTTGCTCTCATTTCACTCTTTGCGATTTTGCTGCCATGGGGGATGCTGCTGTGCTATGTCATTAGTGGTTAACAGCAACAACAATTGTGATTAATGGCAATAGTTTATCTGAAGACACTAGAGTTGATTTACAATCACATTTAGACATCAAATTTAGCTGTGTTTGGTCTGTAGTGGATCGCTTTTTTCCCTTTTTCTAGTAACCCATAAAACTGAAGTGGATGTCTCTCAGAGTCAGAAAAGAAGTTTGCTGATGTGCGAGTATATATGTGTGGGTGAGTTTGTGTGTGTATTGAGATGCAGGTATCCTCACTGTCTTTTTCAACTTATTTGTAAGTTGTACAACTAACTGTTTTGGTGACTTATTTGCTGTAGTTGACAGTTTTGTGTAGGAAGGAGCCAGCTGACAGATGGTCTGAGCAGCAACCCCATCTATGGCATCATCTGACCCTAGGCTTCAGTGATTACCCTAAATTATTAAAACCTTATTTTTAAGGAATAATCATACAATATTTCTTCAATGTTTTTATTGTAATATTAAATGACCTTTATTTTCCAAAAAATAAAATTTCTTTCAGTGATTACCCTCTTTTGCCCTCTAAAAGTGTGTTATATGTTTATGCAGATTTATGCAGTGGTTTATTTAGTACAGTAGCTGAGACTTTTCAAAAGATTCTTCAGAGTTCAGTGTTTCCCCTGCCATTATAATAGGGGGGGCGGCCTCCCCAACGGCGGCATTTTTTGGCATTTTGGCATATGGATTACTGTTTGTCTTTAATTTCATAGGGCCCTAAACATGTAATTTTTGTTAAACTTTTAATAAATTGATGTTAAATTGTTTAAGTTTTATGATTTTAATTAATTAGACATGCTTTTTGATTCATAAAATTGTATTTAACAAAGTCTCTTATGCTCATTAACACAGCATTTATTCGATTAAAAAAATACAGTAAACGCAGTGATATTGTTAAATATTATTACAAATATTACTACATTATTATTACAAATATTATGTAATTTATTCTTTTGATGGAAAAGCTGCTATTGCAGTCTTCAGGAGTTATTCCAGTCTTCAGTGTAAAATGATCCTTCAGAAATCATTCGATTAGGCTGATTTGTGCTATTATCAACGTTGAAAACAGTTGTGGAAACATTTGTGGAAACCATGCTACATTTTTTTTCATGATTCTTTAAGAATAGAAAGTTCAAAAGAACACCAATTATTTTTTTAACTTGGGTGTAACACTTGATCAAATTGAAATATCCTTGCTGAATTAAAGTATTATTTATTTATTTAAATTTAAGGAAACTAACTCACTTCAATCACAGTGCTTTATGCTGGTCACTGCAGTTCTCGTTTCCATGGTGACAGCGACACGAAGTGTAGGGTTTCACCGGGAACTTGGCAATTAAACAATTTTTTAAGCATGAAGTTAAATTAAAACTATTTATAGCTTCCACAGAAGCATATACCACCATTTAATAATCACTGAGCTCATGCTAGCTCTGTCTTAAAAGGTTTATACAGTATATTAGCGCAAAATAATTTTCTGTGGATAGAATGAATGGAATTCACTAGATCAGAAAAAACAAGATCAGGTCATAGAATCTGTGCGTTTTGACAACTGAAAACGTGAAATGTAACGGCCTTACTAGTGGTGGTGTTGGGTAATGAGGCTTTGGCAGGGTGTGTTGTGGCTGACCTGATTTGGCAGAATGAAGAGGATTATAAAGCCTGGTAGTCTCTCCTCTCTCTGTCTTTCTGTCTCTCTTTCTCTCTCTCTCTCTCTCTATGTCGTGTGACCGCTAGTATAATCTCTCATCACAGAATGTGGGTCAGTATGTGAATAAAGGTCACTGTATTCTCCCCTCTCTTCCTCCACTGGTTTTGCACACACCTCCCTTTTGTGTCAAACTCATAAACCGAAATCTGGACCCTCACTTCCTCAAATCTGAACTGGTGCTCCGATGGATCAAAATATAATGTTGCATATGGATTACTGTTTGTCTTTTATGCTTAATACATTATCCTTTAGAACTAGGCTTGTGTAAAATAATGAACGAGACTGATTTATGTGCATACAACTAGATTAGGACAGAATGAAGTGGGACATTATAGAGGCACCATTCATCTGGCCAGGATTTGGCTTTTAGCCCGAACATCTCTCTTGAATTCACTTGTTTTGGTTTTAGCCTTTGATTTAATTCACCAAAAAAGAAATCAACACGGAAAAGAGTGAAATAAAAACTCTCCTCTTTTTTTTCTCCTGATCTGTACACTTCTTTACAGTTCCATAAATACTTATTTGTATCAGCCATTTAAACAGTAGCATATTTATAAAAAAAATTAGAAATTAAATAAGCATTAGACAGTGCATGAGTGAATTTCATTTAAACATACAGTACATTTGTGTTGCAGTTGCTTAATAAAGTCAGCAGCCAGCTGCAAATAACAGTATTGTTTAATAAGGGTTCAATTGGTCCCAGCTTATAAGTCTGAAATAAATAATTTATTAATTATAAACTTATCACTAAACATACATTAAAACATCCTTTTTGTGTCTGCAATGACATCACATGCCATCTATGGCAAACACACATGCACCAGCACCATGAGGACTGTTGATCTTAAGGTTCATGAGCTTCAGTCCCGCTCATCCCTTTAAACACATCTTGTTTCCTCACCCTGATTTAGCTGTGCTGTCACGTGCTGTGAAACTTTCCAACCAGATCACACAATGATGGTTAAAAAAAACTGTAGACTGGGGATATTCCGTTCAAAAGTTAAAAGACAAAACCCTGCCACTTCTTTTCATGCCCTAACTATTGTAAAACAGGAAGTGGGTTTTGATGTACATTTGAAAGCTGTTTTTTTCCCTAACATTGTTTTGTGTGTTTGACTATTTTGTATAAGAGGTTAAGGGGATGTTATACTACAGGAAATACAATGCAAGGAACACTGTAAGAAAAACGTTTGGTAATTTTCTGCCAAGACATTATCTTTTCTCTTCTTACTTTCAAACACAGGAACATTAATACAGCTAGCTACACAATCTAATTGACTTCAATTGCTTTATTTACTAAGTTACTAAGATGCCGGACTAGAAAACTAGGAGTCAGAGGTCCATGTTCTGTAAATGTGATCATTTAGATGACTTATGAGAAGCTGACCTTGTTTCTTTTTCTGTTAATATACTGTATTTTTGTCTGTTGTTCTGTTTCCTACAAATAAAATTTAGATGTATGTAATGTACAGTCCAAGGGATTTTACATTTGCTTATTTGTGTTCTATTTCTTAAACACTTTTTCCCAAATTGACTAGTTCATCCAAATTAATCCTGTGGTGTGACAAATGTTACAAATTAAATAAAGAATGTGTTATGAGAAGCTGACCTTGTTTCTTTTTCTGTTAATATACTGTATTTTTGTCTGTTGTTCTGTTTCCTACAAATAAAATTTAGATGTAGTATGTAATGTACAGTCCAAGGGATTTTACATTTGCTCCTCATTATTTGTGTTCTATTTCTTAAACACTTTTTTCCCAAATTGACTAGTTCATCCAAATTAATCCTGTGGTGTGACAAATGTTACAAATTAAATAAAGAATGTGTTTTATTAAGTAATCTGAGGACATAAAATCTTAATGCATAATTATGAAATAATTATCAAATGCTGTTTGAGAGAGTTTAAGATAATGCATCACTCCACAGGACAAATGGATTTCATGTCAACTACTCATAAATTGATTTTACAGTGCAGTATTTATTTGATATATATTATTTTGTTAATGAGTATTTTGTGTTGTCTAAGCACAAGTTAGATGATTAATAATTTTCACTAAAAATTTGCTCTTCTCTGTTTGTGCCTCTCTCTCTTCAGGTGTCTCTTTTGTGTTCATGCATGACTCTTCTGTTTGCTGATGGAACAGAAGGTCTTCAGTAAGTCCTACATGGTGTCCAGACTGCCAAAATTCGGTGCCCGTCCTGTCAATGGTACCCCCTCATCCCTTCCCAATGGTGCGACCCAGACTGTGCTCACGCAAGAGGGCAAGAATCCACCAGCTAGGCCAAATGGAGTGGTCAGAGCCTCCTCCTTCTCCATGAAATGGAGAAAGGATAGTGGTGGGCCGGTGGACCCTTCAAACCCAGCTGAGGGCACGATACCAGAAGAGAGGAAAGAAGTTAACTCCCAACATTCTCCTGGAAGTAGGGAGTTAAAAAGCCCTTCTACTCCCGCAACCAAAGTACGCAGGTCTGCCTCCACATTGTCCACTGGAAGCCCTAAGCCTGCACCCAAAACTCCTAAATCCATCCCGAGTCCTAAACCAAAGCCCAAATACTCTCAAATTACGACAGCCTCCAAAAGTCAGGACATATCCCAAAAAAGCTCAGGCTCCAAGCCAACTCAAAATGGGACTTCATCTCTGTGGTCTTCACCGGGCCAAGCAAGCTCTTCGGGGCTTCAGCGACCAAGGGCGAACTCTAACTCTACTCAAAGCACCTCTAGAGACCGTTTGTCCCAGTCCAACGACAGCCTCTCACGACAGTCGCTCGTGCCTGACTACATGGTGCGTTCTCAGAGCTTCACTCACTTCAAGCAACTGCCCTCGCTAACGTCCACCGCACCCATGACGCGCTCCTTCTCTTTCAACAAGGCTGTGGAGCTAGCCAAACCGCTAACTAATACACAGCTTCGTCCTCCGCGAACACTTGGACTCAAATCTCCTTTGAGCCTGAGCAAAGGCCGGCTAGTGCTCGGTTTGGGGGGCCTGGGATTTGAAAAGGGGATAACAGATAGACTACCTTCTGGGAATCCTTCTTCAGAGGGTTTAACACCTCCTAATTCCATAAAAAGGCCTCTTCTGCCTAACTCTGTGCTGACAAAACCCTCATTACAGGCCTACAGGCTAAATCGACCAATTCCTGCCAAACCGCAGTGCCCTCTAGTGGTTGGGAGGAGCCCAGTGGAGTGTGACATTATAACCCCGCCTCTCACTCCTGAGTTGCTCCATTGTGCCACAAAGAACGTAAGTGTCTGACTCTATAATTTACAGTACCATGCATATTTTAATATTTTGGATTACAGTCTGATATTTTGTGCAATAGTTCAAGAAATAGTTCCCAAATGATTTTCCTCCTTCTGTGGGACATGAGAGAAATAGCATTGTCAGATTTGTGAATGTCAGATTTGTCTTTTTACCGATATTCACAATTTTCTTATTTATTAATATTATAATTTAATATGGAGACTTCATAGTGAATGCTTTTTATTGTTGTCTAATGATTTGTTGCTTATTATTGTGTCTCAAATCATTATGCCATATATAAAACATGTTTTATTTTCAGTCAGTGTTCTTGTTCTAAATTTAATCATATTTGCATAGCTATTAGTAGCTCTACTGTAGCAAAAGGGGTATTTTGGTGCCACCACAGAGAAGTCAAACTATCGAAACATGATTGCATTGCAGTTAAATAGTTTTATTTCCATTCTGTATGTGTGAAAAGGCATCAGCTTCCACAGATTCCCCAGAGGAGCCTGTGACAGAGCCAGGGCTGGATGGGAACCTCCGCTACACTGGGGAGGGTATGGAGGACATGTCTCTCTCCTCTGCATCTTCTCTGGAGAGGAATGACACAAGTGAAGAGTTCCTAGATGACTTTAAAAATCTAGGGGACAAGTCGGAGAATGGCATCCCTCTTAACAAAAATCCTGTGGCCACTTCCACCCAAATGCGCCTGCAGGGATTCTTAAATGAGACCATGGACTGGACTGGGATTGGTGTGGCAGGTATAGCTATACGTTATTCATCTAATTCTTGCATTTATGTGACAAACAGTACAGTGTTGATAAAATTATCCTGTTGTGGCAAGCATGCAGAGTTTATGCTATGTTATACCATGTCTGTTCTCAGGTGGCAAGGCAGATTCAAGTGATCCGCTCCGTGGTCCGCCGCTCATGTCCCCTGACGTGGATCGTCACGCGACCTCCTCTTTGGAGCTCTCCCCCTCTAACAGCTCTGGAGGAACATACATGTGGGATGAGGAGGGCATGGAGCCGCTGGGACACAACACACACATACACCATTGCAGCAGTTATGAGTCAGACCTCAACAGCATTGTGAGTATACGCATACCCTCCCAAAATGAGTTTGAATTACCCTTAGAAAAAAGTACCGTGATGGAACTGTGGTGTAGTGATATCAAAACCTGGGATTTACATTTATGCATTTAGCATACATTTTTCTACAAGCTCCAATGTACAGTAAGCATTTAAATACATTTAATACAATTAAGAATAAATTATATAAAGAAATGTAGTGAATAAAGATAACTAGTAATTTTTTTATTATAATTATAATAATAATATAATAATTATAATTATAATAATTCATTTTTTATAATATTTTTTGTTGTTGCAGATAATAAGTTATTTTGTTTTTGCTTATAATAATAATAAAATAAGAATTATTGTTTGATATGATTGTTCTTGCTAATTTATTATTATTATTATTATTAGTTAAACAATATTTTAATACCATGTAAATGGTAATGCCATGTTTTTGGCTGTTAATAATAATAATAATAGTAATAATAACTTTACCTCTGTTACCAGCCCAAATTTAACCACATCTAAACTATTCTCACATTATAAAACTGTAATACAACAGTGTGACTGAATGTGGCTCTGCAAGTCTTGTAGAAGGCTGTTCTGTTCCATACTCTGTGGGTGTTTGTAATCTTTCCTCTGCTGTGCATTTCGATAACCCATCGCTTCTGTACTACTTGTTGTTGGTTAGTATGTGCACTTGTGTGTGTGACCGGATCTCTCCGTCCCTATCCTGCTAATTATTTTTTTGCTAATTTGGGATTAGTCTCTGTGTCTCTTACTTGTGACTCTGCTGGAGTCTGACTCCGGGTCCCGCCGTTCTGAACAAAGGTCCTGTTCTATCTCTGCTGTTTCCAAAGCCCTTGATCGGGTGGGAATGCGGAATGGTGCCACTTAACATGCCAGCTTTTGATCCCAATGAAGCAGACTGTGATGTTAGTCCTAATTTTTTATTTATTTATTTTTTTTCTGATTCATGATGTCAGATTGGCTCAGTGGATTGCAGAAAGAGTTAGGCTGGATTTGAAACAGTAATCAGATTTGAAATACCAGACTCCTGTAGCAGATACACAAATGCACTGACACCACAGACATGCTGACTTGACTCTGACTTCAGACATTATGTAATCGCAGCATATATACATTTGAGAGCAGCTGAGTCATTGTTATCATACTTGAGGGTTGTTCCTCTGATGTAGTTGTATAGTGTGGAGGAGGAGTTCAGTTTACATAATGGACTGTGTTTCAGTTTGAGCTGGGCTATAAGTGACATCTTGTGGTCTACTGTAGGTACTGCAAAAATGTATTTTGCACGTGTTTCTTGTTTGTAATGCTTCTTAACACCAAACATGTAGTATTAAAGTTGGTTGCATAACTTTTCCTAGATCTTTATGAAGTGACTTTGCTAAACCTGTGTTACACTGTTACGTGTAAATCAGTGGGAGTCACATGCACGGTAATTGAATGATTAATTCGATCTCCTGACAGCAGTGGATCTGCTTTAGATCCTTGCTCTGTGTCTATCTGTAGTTTAAGACTCCTCTGCTCTTACCGATACTGAAACCGAGGCTGGGGCCGGGCTTTATTTAGAGCTCATCTGATCTTACCCTCAGGAGGTGATGTAATGGCAAACTTTATTTGCAGGTTGCAGTGTATAAGCAGGAGGTCAAACTTAAATTTAGGTCTAAATACAGTTTAATGCTGTTTTGTGGAATTTAGTTATTTTATTTTTTCTATTTTTTTTATTTATTTATTTTTTATCAAAAATAATAAATAAAAAATATATAATGTTCTCTTCCTAAATACGCTAAATTAAAAAACAAAACAAAACATATCAAACAAATATAAACATATCAAATTGAATAACAAGGTTGCATTTTGCCTAAATTAAACTGTCTCACATTATAGGCTAGTTAGTGTTGTACCAAATGTTAGTTGGAAATATTGACATTAACTTCTTGTTAAAATGTTCTCTTAATTAATGAATCAATTAAAATATCCGGTCTTTCTCTAAAAAGTTTTTCAAGGATTCTGGAGAACTGGGGGAGTATAGAAACAGCTCTATAATTTGTGAAATAGTGTTCATCCCCAGTTTTATATAATGGAATTACTTTTGAAATTTTAATTTTATTTGGAAATTTACCAGATTGAAAGGACAAGTTAAAGATATAAGTTAATGGCTCTACAATTTATTCAATAACTTATTTATTATAATCATATCAATGTTATTCCAATCCATGGAGGATTTGCTTTTACACTTTCTTACAATGTCCATTATCTCCTCACTATCCACTGTTCTAAGAAAAATAGAGCTAGGATTTCTATTCCAAAAATCAACATCCACCCCTTCTGTTGTTTCTGGCTCATTTATCATTTTTACCAAGTCTAGACCCACATTTACAAAGAATTTGTTACATTTACATTACATTTAGTCATTTAGCAAAAGCTTTTATCCAAAGCGACTTACAAATGAGGACAATAGAAGCAATCAAAATCAACAAGAGAGCAAAGATATGCAAGTGCTATAACAAGTCTCAGTTAGCTTAACGCAGTACACGTAGCAAGGGGTTTTAGTTTTTTAAATTATATAATAAATAAAAAGAAAACAGAATAGAAAAAGAATAGAGCAAGCTAGTGTTAGAGGCCTTTTTTTGCTTTTGTTAATTGTATAATAATTATTATTATTCTTTTTTTTGTTGTTGAAACCATTAACCACTTCTTTCTTATTATTTATTATATTATCATTGCCAGTGTAATATTCCGGGTAACTTTTTATTAAATTTTTATTTTTAGTTCAATTTCTAAAAATACTATTTAGAATATTCCATAAACCTTTAATATTATTTTTATTATAATCTTTTTATTATAAACTAATAAGTAATTCCTTCTTACACATTCTGATAATATTAATTAATATTTATTCTTATACTTTTTATATTTATTTTCTGCTTCTGGGGTTTGATACTTAATAAATTGTCTATACAGCGTGTTTTTCTTTTTGTAGGCATTTAATAATCCTTAAGTAATCTATGGATTCTTTATTTGCTTTTGTTTGTTATTATTATATTGTATTTCAGGACAGTATAATCTTTTTATTATAAACTAATAAGTAATTCCTTCTTACACATTCTGATAATATTAATTAATATTTATTCTTATACTTTTTATATTTATTTTCTGCTTCTGGGGTTTGATACTTAATAAATTGTCTATACAGCGTGTTTTTCTTTTTGTAGGCATTTAATAATCCTTAAGTAATCTATGGATTTATTTGCTTTTGTGTGTTATTATTATATTGTATTTCAGGACAGTTTTTGTCATACAGTGATGAAAAATCTTTAGGGATCCATTATATGCTTTAACAATATCATCTTCGTCATATAATATTTTCCAGTTTTGTTTCAATATTTCTTTCTTAAAAGCATTTGCTTTTTACAGTTCTTACTCTTTTATATTTGAAATAACTAATAACCTTAGGTTTCCTATACTTACAGTGATAGACAGTAAAAATAGGTAAATGGTCACTGATGTCATTATAAATAATTTTATTAAATGGAAAAATTTTATTAGTGTAATGAAGGCCATTTCAGTAGATGTACTGTATGATTTTAAATGTTGGATGCAGTTGAAAAATTCATGAGCTAGGGTGAGACATGCTGAAATTCCTATCTTAAGGTGGAGAATACAGGTGTTTGATTTGATTAAAACTAGTTTTCATGCTTGGCTATTTATTTATTTTTTGTCAGAAAATGTTTTTATCTTTGTGAAATGCATTGATATCAAAACCCTTACTGTACTTGAGACCACAAGAGGGCAGTATGGATTCAAGAGGCACAAGATATGTTTCTTTCCTTACATTGTATACTTGTGTGTTTTGTATGTTTTATCCCTCTGTTGAAAGCACATCCCCTTTTGGGCTCTTTTAAGATTTGTTTATTTGTTCTAAATATAGTCTGTCTTACAGGCCAATTCATTAGCTGCTAAATGATCTAGGTGCAGAAGCCTTTGTTTTTAACACCGTAAGTGATTCTGAGACATGCTTTTATCTGCTGCTGTTTCAGCATTAATTAGCTGAGATTTATAGAGCATTGTTTAAGCTTTATCATTTGCTAACATTACTAATACTGTAAACAGGATTTGTTAAATTTTTTATAAATATTTAACGTCTTTAATCAGCTCTTAATTTATTAGGCTAACTGGTTTATTGACTCTTTCTTATTTTGCTTAATCTCTTTGAGACCTGCGATTCCAAATGGCTTTTGAGAGCATTTTCATGCACACAACCACCACACGCTCTCAGAGCCTGTTTTTTTTGTGTGTGAGTGCTTGGCAGAGCTCTGTGTGGCACTACCAGTATGTGAAATCGAATCTTATGCACATATTCAGGGTGACAGGAACACAAACTGAAAGATGAAAAGCTGTTTACTCTCAGGCAGTGATGAAGCGTAGACTTTTCCCCCCATTTTTTTCCTATTCTGAGGTGCCGGCGGTGTTTTGAATACATGACAATAATATACTTGAGACACATCTGTTATGATTTAGTCTTTACTGATATAGAAACTTAGTTGTGCTCCTATAATACCTAAGCTAACTAATATGATTTCTGTCTTTACAATTGTGAGTTTAATGCTTTGTAAATTGTCTTAAGAGGTACATGAAAATGTACTGCATGTTCGGTCCTGTAACAAAGTTCATAGGTCATTTGAAGCCAGTGTGTCCTGGGCGGCGGTGTTTTGAATACATGACAATAATATACTTGAGACACATCTGTTATGATTTAGTCTTTACTGATATAGAAACTTAGTTGTGCTCCTATAATACCTAAGCTAACTAATATGATTTCTGTCTTTACAATTGTGAGTTTAATGCTTTGTAAATTGTCTTAAGAGGTACATGAAAATGTACTGCATGTTCGGTCCTGTAACAAAGTTCATAAGTCATTTGAAGCCAGTGTGTCCTGGGAAAAGAGATCTAAACTGCGTTTAATTAATTATGAAACATGCATAACAGTTTATTAGTATTTACAATAAAAAAGTATTAATTAGGCATTAAAAACATCACATTTTTGATACGAGTATTTTTGGAAAAATACATGACTCAAAGTTTTATGACATTTTTAACTATTTGAACTGATTATATTTTATAATAATGCAGTAAATATTGATATTTAGAAAGTGTTTTGATCCATAAACATAAGCATACTACCTACAAAATAAATACAAAAATGATATATATATATATATATATATATATATATATATATACCTTTAGAATTTTAGAATTACATGCACATTGACCTCTTTTTTTAAATTACCATTGAAAGTTTGGCTCTTTTCAAAGTATATCTGTAGGTGTCGGAGTAATTGTGTCATGTATGTAATATGATTCAGGAATTCAAACGCATTCCTTTTGATCCCCCCTAATATGATGTTTTACTCCCGAGCGCACCACTCAGATTGTGTGAAATGTGATGCGGATTCTGGGCTTGTCCGATAGGACCTTCCTTAAATGTTATCTGAGGTTCTGTCTGTATCGGTCCGGCTCTAAAGGGACCTTTAATCCGATCTTCCTGGCTGATTCGCACAGGCCGATGTGAAATGGGCTATGTTATTCCAGATCTTTCAGCACAGGAGGAGGATGCTGATGGAGCTTGGGCTGCATATCTAAGCTACCGCCCGGCGCAGTGAAATGTCATTTCCTCTGAAGCAACCTGCCGTGACTAAGCCCCTTTATACATGGACAGAGTCAGAGAGAGAGGGACCTGAGAGACTATGCATGTGTAGGTGAAGTGTATGAACTCTGGCTGCTTAGAATACACATTTTGTGTACACTTGTAAGACAGTACATTGTGTGTGTATGTATTAATGTCCTGGAGAGGGGCCTGTCTCTTTTTAAGTACATATTTATATGATGGATGGGATTGGAGGGCGTCTTGTCAGCTTAGATGACTTGAAGAGACGTTTTTGTTCTGTGAATGTATCATAGTTGCATGATTGATAATGTTTTCTAAAGTATGCTGAGAGCATATTTGTACTGTGGTTCTTTCCCCAGCTGCCTGCTGTATATGAAATATGAGAAATTATGCAGAAACTTTCATAATGTGCTGTTATTTTTGCAAGAAAGTCCCCGATTTAGAAAAGCCAATGTATTTAACATAGCTTGAAGGGATAGTTCAGTCAGAAATGACAATTCTGTCATTTACTCCATACATCATTTCTTTCTTCTGTGGAACACAAAAGAAGATTTTTCTTAAAGAATATCCTGGCTATTATTTTCAAAATTATGAAAATGAATGATGGCCAGGACTCTCAAAATGACAAAAAAATATGGGCCATATGATTCATGCACTACATTAAAGGTCTTCCAGCCATTTTGTGGGATAAAAAGGCAGAAGTAGTCATTATTAAGTCATTATACTATGAAAATCTTGAATCTTGACTCTTCCTTAGCTCTCTGTGAACCGTTAATGACATAAGTAGCAATGTCTGATTCGTGAGTAAATCATTCCTTGGTGTAAAATCTTTTTAATGAATCTGCTGATCGAATGCTGAATGATTCTTTTACAAATCAGACTGATCTGTTTCTGGAGTTCTCACTGACTTGATCTGGCAGATTAACGGCCCACTTAAATGGAAGATTGTCAGTAAATTACGACTTAAATTTCAGTCTGTTTTTCACATAAACCTATTGTTTGCCATCAGAATACTTGGAATAGAGCATAAGTTGTATGGACTAATTTTAGGACCGTTTTAATGCTGCTTTTACATTCTATTTTAAGCTGGACGGCTCCAGTCTGCATCCAATATTCTTTAAAAATTCACTGTTTGCGTTCCACTGAAGAAAGTCATAAGGGAACAACATTTTTGAGTAAACTATTTATTTAATAATAATTTCAATGTAATATGAAGTAATACGTTTTTGAAAGAAGTCTCTTATGCTCACTAAGGCTGCATTGTTTGATCTAAAATACAGTAAAATCAGTAATGCTGAATCTTCAGCAGCCATTATTCCAGTCTTTTGTGTCACATTATCCTTCAGAATTTTTCATTGTCACAATTTAAAAAGCTGTATTTAAACACAACATAATGGTTGCAATATTTAACACCACATAGTGCAGGGCTTAAAGTTCTCCGGCACCATGCCGGATCTCTCCGGCATGTGGCGTTTAGCTGCGGGAAAATAAGATAGTTTTCTTACTTTAAAAAAAAACAAAAAACCTTGATATCACGTTTGAGTTAATGAGTTCGCCTACCAATGTATGAGAGGAACACAGCTTTCACTCTCAACCAAACTAGCATTACTAGCCAATCAGACATTTTTGGTCCTATAAACATGAGACTCGCATAATAGTATCCAACTGCAGAGTCGCAGCTGATGAGTGCGACACATTCTGAAAAAGCTGCGAGGCGCAATGGTCAAAGATTTCCATCTAGAGCCATATTTATATAGAAAAGCTATTTTCTATATAATTAACGGAGCTTTGTAAACAGCTCAGAGTAACCACGTCATCTCCATAAGAACGATATGACTGGCAGAACAAATTTACCTGTAGTTTTGAAAAGGTTCTGTTCACACATGATCTCTTAACGGCAATTTACCAGTAAAGACTGTGTGAAAGGGGCTAAACTCTTCCTCTGCATATGCGGTGAGTTTGGGTTGCTTAACGTTCATCTGGGAAAACTGTGCGTTATCTCACTTAATTTGTAAATTAAGTCATTTATAAATCTATGCCAAAACAGAATACATCAACATATTTCTAAATATGCAATTTATTGTAGATTGCGATTTCAAAATAAAAGTTTCTCACTTTGCATATATGGCCAAATATTGCAATTAAATGGATT